CTCCCCAGCAGCGCTACCAACCCCGGCTGCCCCCCCCTTCTCAACAGTCCTTTCCCCAACCCGCCGCGACTCCCCTTTTACAATCGGCACAACCCAGGTGCTAGAGCAGCAAAAAAAAAAAAAAAGGCCAAAAATACCCCCTGGCACCCAAACCACCCCCGATCCGCCACCCTCGGTAGCGACTGCTTCCAACCTTCCTCCATGGCGGGTGGGTTGTTGTTTGTATATATCTTTTTTTGTCCCTTTTTTTTTTCTCCCCCCCATCGGATCCCTCTCGCATTGGGTGTGTACGTTCCTATTCAAGGACCCGCCGCCTCCTGTCGTGCTAAAACCAGGAAGGAGGGAGCCCAGGGCTCATTTCTGCTTGGACGCTGGGGCGGCGGGCGAGGGAGCCGGTGACGGAGGGCGCGAGGAGGGAGGAGGGGGACGGGCAGGCGCGAAAAGGAGCCCGGGGGGGGGCGGGAAAAAAATAATCCACCTCCCCAGGCCTTTTGTTTAACCTGCGTCGATGCAAAGGAAGGTCTTGGCTTTTTTTTTTTTCCCTTCCCTTGTCCTTTTTTTTCCCCTGTGCTTGAGCCTGGCGGGGCATTTTCGAGCCCAATGGGGCAACTTTCTGGAGCGGGCAGTGTCGGAGGTTGATTTTTTGGGAGGTGGCGGGCTTGTCCCGCGGGCGCGCAGCTCCGAGTGCAGGAATTCCTGCCAGCTCGCCTTTGTGCCAGCCTCTGTTGGCCTTGGGTGTCTCGTTCGGATGGAGCCTGGCATCCAGGCACCGCCCATTTCTTGGCGTTGAGCTGCGAGGAGAAGGAAAGGGGAGAGAGCGAGCGAGAGAAGGGAAAAAAAAAAGCTGTCTCACTCAAACTGGCCTTTCTCGGAAAAGGATCCTTCCCTGATGATTGTCCGGATAAGCGGAGCTAAATCCAGCCACCACTCAACAACAAAACCACTCTCTTCCACGGTGCGTCTCTCTTGCTGCCTTGGTACGAAATCGAACCTCACTCTTAATTTTGGGTGGTGTTTTTTTTTTTCTTTTTTTTTGTTCGTGCGGTTGGGTTTTTTTGCCTTTGATTTGAAATAACGTTTTGTTCCTCCAGTTGCTCAGTCGCTTTGTTGTTGCTGTAACCTGCCTTCTCCCCGAAACCCCCTTCCCTTCGAGTCCTCTGGCCCTTGGTGCTAAAACATCTGACTTTAAAATCGGTCTCCTATAGAGAGGGATGTATAGCAGCTAGGCAGGTCACTACATGCAGTGTTTGGAGCAGGACTGGAGGGTGATTTCTCTCTCTACCCTCGCCCCACCGCCCGGGACGTCCCCGAGAGCCACCCAGGGCTGGGTGCATGTCACGCGGGTGCTTCTTTAGTTCCCCACCGGGCACCGCCGAGGGGGGAAAAAAATATGTCGAATCATGTCGGATTTGCAATTCAACATGGCAGCCGCAGCTAGCGTGGTGGGAGCTCCCAGCGCCGAGCAGACCGGCGGGCACGCGTGCTCCCGGCTGGCTGTGCCAGCGCAGGGTGGGGGCACGGGAAGGGTGGAAGAAGGGAGAGGGGAGGACGGGAGGGAGGGAGGGCGCCCGGGCGAGGTCAGAGGAGGAGGATAATTTTATTTCACTTTGGGGGGGTGAATTACACCAGGAGCGATTCGGGAAGGAGGGAACTCAAACGGTCTGGTTTTGTCAGCGTTAACTGTTTAGAAGCTGGCTTGTTTTTCACGCTGGCACGGTGTGCCAGGGTGGGTGGCAGGGCTGGGGAGATGCCCAGGAACGGGGCAGGAGGCTCTGCCGGCCCCGGCGGGCAAAGCTGACTGAGGGAGCGCTCCAGTGGCGGCTTGTGGCTGCTTTTCCCAGAGCGATGGAGGCCTTTAGGCTTTGGAAATGGACTGAACTGGGTGCTCCTGGGAGGAATCTGCTTTGCGAAGGCATCGGGATGATTTACGGGGCTTCTTGCGGCCGCCCAGTCCCTCCTGCCTCGTGGAGGTTCGCGCCTCTCCCCTCGCACCCAGGCGAGATGCGGCACTGCCGCGC